TGATGCAACAGCTTGATCCCAGAATAAGCTTGAGTGATGGACTTAGAGCAGAACTCATGCTGGAGCTAAGTGGACTCACCAAGGATCAGCAGCTAATGATTAAGGCTTGCGCAGGAGGTGACAACAGCTTCGAGAGTTTTGCTAGAATCATGATTGAGCATCATGGAAACATCCACTTGAGGGACAACCGCTTATTGGACCCATTTGGCAAAGGAAAGGGCAAGGAGCCAGGCAAGTTCGGTTCCAAGGACTTCGGCAGGGACAAAGGTAAGTTTGGCCCAAAGGGATTCGGCAAAGGATCTTCAGGGAAGCCATCTTACAATCAGCAGTCACCGTGGAGAGCGTATGCAGCCGAAGAGATGGGTCAACATGCGGAGTATTATGGAGAACCAAGTGGATCAGAGTACGAGCATTGGGGATACCTAGCAGAGCATTGGGGAGAAACCGATCCGAATGAATGGTGGTATGGAGAGCATGGTGAAAACCCCCAAGCATACCCAGCGTATACCCCAGACAATCAAGAGAGAGAAGAGTATGTATCTGATGAAGACATTGCAACCGCGCTGAACGTCATTGAATCGTGTGACCCAGATGCTTACCCAGAAGCAGCGGCAGAGGCTATTCAGCTACAATTGGCTGCAAATGTCGTCATGGGCAAGGCAGGAAAAGGGAAATCCCAAGGGAAAGGTAAAGGATTCCCAGTCGTCAAGTCGAACTTGAGCATTGAGGATAGGAAGAAGCGCCTTCAGGAGATCAAGAGCAAATCGAGGTGTATGAAATGTGGTCAAGTTGGACATTGGAGTGGGGATCCACAGTGCCCGAAAGGACGTGGAGGTCAGGCACCCAACCAGACCCCAGCTAAGCAAGCATTCTTGGCTACGCTATCGGATTCGAGTTCAGAGGATGATTGTTTGCTGATTTCGGATGATTCGGCAAGTCCTCATGCGATGATGGCGTACAGGCACAGCCCAAGCAGGTTGACCAAGGGAGGAACAATGAGGGATGAGGTTCCTCCAGGTGGTGACAAGAAGTTCCTATTTGGACAGCATCGAGGGTTAACTTATGAAGAGGTCACATGGCGATTTCCGGGATATGCGTCATGGGGATTCAACGAACGAGCTCCGTCCTTGTATCTGTCTCAGTATCTGGATTGGGTACACAACTATTACACCATCGATCAAAAGACGATGGAAGTCTCCCGGCGAGAAGTCCCGCTCGACCAAATGGGAGCCCCCGGCGCAGAAGCTTCAGCATCAGATCAGATGATACCAGCAAGATCAGCGCACAAGTCAGCCAAGAAGAAGCCGCCAAATCCACCATTACCCGTGAGCTGTCGGAAATGCACAGATTTCAGTTTCTTGGGAACCAACGCTTATGTGCAGGTCAAGACTTGCAAAGATTGCGGTAAGATTGAGAAGACGAAGAAGGAGATGCCCGAGAAGAAAGACATCAACCTTTGTGAGCACAAGAACACAAACCGGCTAGGTTCCAATAAGGCAACGATGAGAGTATTGTGCAAGGATTGCGGGAATTTCATTGATGAGATGCCGAGAGAGGAAGCAAAGAGACGACAGGCGGTAGGAAGAGAGGTTGAGACCATGTCAGCAGCGTCGTTCGACTTGGTATCGAGCATTCAGCAATCCGTGAGTCAGGGTACGGAGTTGACTACCGAGCAAGCAGTGGTTATCTTGGATGATTTCAGAACCCAAGTAGAGGACCACATGGTAGCACAAGATGTAGCCGGAGAAGCCAAGCCCACCATTTCAGCAGAAGTATTGCATGGCATACTCCAAGATTGCATTGAAGCATCACAAGTGGCCGAAGAACCTGATCCACCTCGTGGACCGGTAGGTGTGACGGATTGGTCTGGATCCTCTGCAGCTCCTTCAGCAAACCGTCAGAGGACAGGATACGCACCACGACGTTCGGGATTCATGGCAACTCTTCAGGAACCCGGACCCCTGCCAAACGATGAGGTTGGATTGATTCTCCCAGTGGTTGACATTATGGAAGACGAAGATGTTTGGGCTACTTTGGATGAAGGGGCAAACAGCAGCGTTGCCGGTGGTCAGTGGATGAACAGAACGGAGTCCAAGTTGAGGGAGTTGGGATTCGAGTGCCCGTGGATTTCCTCCGAAACCAAAACATTCAATGGACTTGCCCACAGCGCCTCAACGGTTGGTACCCGGCGAATCCCCTTCAGCATCGAGACTTTCGGGAGTACACTCCTTGACCGTGGTGGCAAGGAAGGTTTGACCCAAGACCCGAACAGCAAAGGAGATCAGGATTTCACTTCGGGTTTGATGGATGTGCATGTCCTACCTGATGATACAACGGCTCCGCTTCTCATGTCGCAGTTCGCACAGAGTAAGTTGGGGTTGGTGAAGGACATGGGGAATTTTCGGTGTTACATTCGCAAGGATGGCCAAGAATGGATGGTTCCATTAGCCCGAGCCAGGGGGAGTAATCTTCTGTGCATCAACTTGACCAAGGGATTGAGACAGAAGACGGAATTGCCTAAGGCCATTCGGAAGCTCAGGACATCCCAGGCAGTACTGAGTACCAGCTACACAGCGACCACTGAGAGTGAGAGAGTGGTGCGGAGAAGTGAAGGGGATCTCGAGGCTCTGCCCTCCATGGAGGTTTACGCGGCATCGGCTGGTCGTAACTTTATTGCGCAGGCTGCGGAGTACTTGAGAGAGCCCTGCCATCAGAGGGCTGTATTGTTGGCGAAGGCATGTTTTCCCGATCATCGCATTGCAGACGATACAGCTATCTTCGTGATGGACACTCTGCGGTTGAATGACCCAGAGGATCGGCCACAGACTCGGGGACATGTGGGGAGGCACCCCGATACGCTTGCGGCACCGCTACGAGATGTGAACTTCCTTGCTAACATGCGCGAGCTCAAGCAGCGGCTGGAGCAGGATGGATCGGTGCGGCCGAAGCGTTGTTACGTAATCTTTGTATGCAATCAGTCCCGACATAGATCAGTGGCAGGCGCGGAACTTACAGATGCGGTAGTGCCGGAGGGCACGAGGCTTCAGATTGTGCACACTGGCGAGAGAATTTCGTGGCCTCAGATGAGATCTTGTTATGGCCGTTGTGATATTTGCACATGGTCAGACAGTTGGACGGTTCATCAAGTCGAGAACATCTTGGAGGAGGCCCGCCAATGGATCACAAGGGCGCGAGGACGGCCCACGGACGCGGCGAAGTTTTATGGAAAATGGACCCGCGAGCGCGCAGAGCCGAAGCCGAAGGTGAGAGCAGATCGTGCTGAGTATCTTGAGCCTCAACCGAAGGTGAAGGCAGTGAAGGCTAAGGCCAGGCCAGCTGTGCGTGTTGTGGTTCCTGATGATCCCGAGCCGGTTGTGCGTGCTGCTACTCCTAAGCCATCGGCTACCCGAGCTGCGAGCTCTATCCCAAGGCCATCTACTCGATCAGAGAGTCCTGCTGGGTCTGTTCCGGCTGAGAGCGCTGCGACGACGACTGATCCGGTGGCATTGGCTAGGATTCAAGCGTTGGAGTCGGAGGTGAGTAGGCTGGCAGGTTTGCTTGAGACCCGGAGGGATGCCAGGGAGGAGCCCGCGAGCAGGGGGAGAGAGCCACTCCCGAGGCAGCGAGCCAGGGATGTGACTCCGCCGTGGAGGAGCCGATCGCCTTTGCAACGGCGGCCGACAGTGGCACCTAATGCATCCGTCGCGACGACTGGGGATTACCCCGAAATGGAGGAACTGATGATCAGCGATGGTGCAGGCGATTGGCGTGGCCGTATTGATTTCCAGAGTTGGATGACTAATGGAATCGTCGAGCGTATTTTTGCAACTGGTGTGCATTGGATGCGGCCCACGCAGACCCGGTATATCTTCAAGCCAAGGGTCATGACCTGGATTGGACCAGGATCCGCGAGCGAGAATATCCAGCGGAACATCAAGGTACAGGTGTACAAGGACGCGGACCAGGCTGTAAGCAATCTTGCCAATGAGCTGAAGGCTCTCAGGTGGGTGGAGGTGACATTTGCTCGGCGCCCATCGGGATGGCAGATGTATGGCCCGGTTGCTGCGGGGACCACGCGCTTCGTGTCGGATGCGAGCGATTTCGTGGTTGTACAGTTTCCGAACAGCGAGTCAATGCGGAATCCGGCATACACAGCAGTGCTCATGTCGAAGCAGCAGTCTAGTACGTATGAGTCGGGAGTGAGAGTGGTGAGCCACATGGACAGATTTGTTCACATGACTGCGGGCATGACACATGATGATACGGAGAAGCCAACTTCCCTCATCCTCATTCACGACAATCAGCCATTCCAAGATGGCACTGGGATCTCCCAACATTCCGCGAAGGATTTCAAGTTGAGCCGACTGGTTCACGAGATCAACGAGTTCAGGCCAGGGGTAATCGTCTACAAGGCATCGGAACCGGAACGGAGTGTTATCGTAGATCTTCTGTGCGAGTCGGATGCATCTGGTGTGACAGTCTGTGTGGTAGCACCCCTAGGAAAGATCCCGGATTGCGGAGTGCAGATTCATGAGTGTCGAGGTGATGCAAACATGATTTGTGTTGGACCGTTGGCCAGCACAGTGGGGCGTGATATCGTTACATGGTTTGAGGGTAACGGGTACACCCCAAAGGCATACACGGATACAAACTCCTATTCCTTTCGCGACTTCCTGAAATCACTGGCTGATGACGCTTATTTGGAGATGCTTTCCACAGCCATGGTTGCCGAATCGGGAGGTGATGGTCAGGATGTGGAGTTAGATCTGGAAAACTCAGACACAGAAATGAACCCAGAGAGAGAGCCGCAGGGAGCACAAGATGAGAATCGGAACGCTCAGAATGAGAGTGATCGGGAGATTGAAGACGCAGTTGAACGCATTCTGGAACAAGCCGGGCAACCGCAACTTACCCCATTAGAGCGAGAGCGTGAGTGGTTGGAAACACTACCACTACCAGGAGTACCGAAATCAGAAGCCGAGAGACGCAAGATGTGGCGAATGCTACCGCAAAAGGTCCGAGTGGCAATCAGGAGACTCCATCGGCAGTTCAATCACCCAGCGCCCAAGACCCTAGTGGCGATACTCAAGGCCGGAGGTGCATCGAAGGAGTTCATCGAGGCAGCCAAGTTAGCGAAGTGTGATTCGTGCATCAAAACATCAGGGAAGCCGAGGCCTCATCCCGTAGGTTTGGGACACGGAGAGTATCGAGTGGGAGATGTTCTGGGGATTGACGTTCTTGAAATTTCCGATTCGGGAAAGCAGAAGTATCAGTGCGTCAACTTGGTCGACATGGCATCAGGATTTCAGCAGCTTGAAGTGCTTCGACCGGTAGGCGAGCACGCAGGACCACCAAGCGCAGAGTCTTGTTTGGAAGCAGTCCAAAGATGGGTAACTTGGCTAGGGTTGCCAAGAGTGCTCATGGCAGACCGTGGCACCCACAATCGGGGCATATTCAACAAGTGGGCATCAGAGAAAGGAGTTGACATAAGGTATGCCGCGACCGAGGCCCCATGGATGATTGGGAAAGTAGAAAGGCACGGAGGGCTTGCGAAAGCCGTGGTGAGAAAGGTAGTGCATGAAGTGGGTACCACAGGGGTTTCAGAGATCCGAGCAGTGGTTCAAGAAGTCATCGGAGTCAAGAATGCAATGATGAATACTTCTGGGTACAGTCCAATGCAGTGGGTTACAGGTCGAAACCCAAGGGATCCAGGAGCGATGACCGATGAGCACGGATGGCTGGACTTAGGTGCAATGGAATCAAAGCACGATGGGAGCAGCGAGTTCGCATCACGGCATCAGGCAAGAATGGCTGCGAAGAAGGCCATGATTCATTTGGATTGCAGTCGCAGAGTCCAAAAGGCATTGACCCGGAACGCAGCTCCGATCAAGGAGGATTACCAGCCAGGTGATTATGTCGTGTATCGGCGAGATGCTCAGGCTGGTGGAACGAAGTGGAGCAGCGCATCAAGAGTGATCGGTAAGGAAGGGTCAGAGTCGATTTGGGTTATACACGGTGGAGTGCCGGTATTGTGCTCAGTTCATGCCCTACGCCCAGCTACCGAAGAAGAAGTCATGTCTCATTGCATGCTACAGGGGATCCCGTTGCTGCCTACAGAGTTGACAGAGGGACCCAGAGGCAAGAAAGCATACATTGACAAGCGTCAAAAGACAGAACCAGCAAAAGCAGCTAAGCAGCCTGACACGAAGAAGCGGAAACAAGAGGGAGCAGCGTCCAAGGACATTCCCATTCCAAGCAGCAGCGAAAGCAGCTCAAGTTCAGAGTCCAGTGATGAGAGCGAAGGACAAGGGAACACAGCAATAGATAAGACGGGCACAATCCCGGAACATCAAGCTGAGCAGAACAACACCGTGCATGAAGCACATCATGCAGATGGAGAAACAATGACGGAGTGCGAAAGGCTAGCCAAACAGGCCTTGGAACATGAAGATTACACTCCGAGAACATGCTTGCAGGTGTTGAGAGCATGTCAGTTCCCGAAGACGAGGAAGCGAGACATCAATCAGAACGGTGAGTGCATGAGCTTTGGAGTTTACGCGCATGGTCCGTTTTCAGGGGTGACAAGAGCAACGTTGGAGCACCCATGGCTTGTTCTGTATGTGAACGAGTACCTGCGTGCACGTGGAGCTACGGAGGGGTGGTCCAGCTTCGCAATTCATTTGAACGCAGAGACCCCGAAGCACACGGACAACCACAACATGCCAGGATCAGTGAATCAACTCACCAGTTTAGGACCTCATGAAGGAGGACAGTTATGGGTCCAGGACCCTGGAGGCCAATCCAAGCGCATGGATTATGAAGGTCAGGATGGGAGAATCCTAGAGTGCAAGCACAGGGTCGTGACATTCGGACCTGATCAGGCGCATGCTACACTCCCTTTTGAAGGTGAGAGATGGTCTATTTCAGCATACGCCAGTCGAGGTTTTCCCAAATTGACAAAGCTGGAACACAAGGACCTCGCTGATCGAGGGTTTAAGGTGGAACCCTTGAAAGCATTAGCCAGAGCAACAGGGAGTTTGTACATGACAGCCGATTGTTCACAGGGAGAACATCATCAGGGCGACGTCAAGGTCGTGGACACTCAGGCGGAGGAGTCAGTGACGAAAGAGCGCGACCTCCCCATGGAATCATTGTTGACCCGAGGTATGACTGAGGATCATTGGCGTGTGGCTACGGGATTCTTCTTCAGGGTGCACATGAAGCCCAGAACAGGCCTCTACACCCCAAGTGCCGATGATTTCCCAGGTGATATTAGTCGGGTGAGTCACACAAGGGTAACACACAAAACCTTTTCAGGTGGAAGAACAGATCATGTTACCGATGAGTGGGGAATGGTTCGCGAAGCAGATGAGAATTCAGATGGACCGTGGACGGGATTCACATTGTTCAAGTATGCTGATACTGAGGCGGAATTATCTTCATTACCTCAGGCGCCAGTGGAGTCAGCGGAGTATCAGGCATTTTTGAGTGACAGAATCCTACCCAAGAATGAACCGTTCGGTGAAGCAGTGAATGGTAAGAAGCCGAAGAAGCTTGACATCAACAGAGTGGATGAGAAAACAGCCCAAGGGATTCACGAGGCCCGAGGACAAGAATGGGAAAAGTACAAACAGTACAATGCAGCAGTTCCCATTATGGGACCAATGCTAGAAGGCCTACTTCGAGAAGGACACATCCCGATCCCAAGCCAGTGGGTGGATGTCGACAAGAACGAGTTCAAGAAAGGTCGGAGCGACTACCAGCCAAGGTACAGGAGCAGACTGGTTTCGTGCGGGAACTACGAGAACGTCTCCCGAAATGAGCTAAGGTGTGATGCGCCCACGGTGGACGCAGAAACCCATTGTCTGATCGCAAGTTACGCAGCTTGCCGCAAGATAAAGCTCAGGTGCGGGGATATCTCTTCGGCATACTTTCAGTCAGAACCGCTGGAAAGAGTAATCATCATGAGGCAGCCGCGAGGAGGATTGCCAGGTGTGCCGCCAGAAGCTATGTTGCTGTGTAGGTTGCCGGTGTACGGCACAATGGATGCTGGCAGAGGGTTCTACACACGTCTGTGCAATGTGTCATGTGAGGAAGGACTCAAGGTGAGCAAGATTGCAACTGGATTGTACTACGTGCTAGGATCTGACGGCCTTCCTGCAGTGCTGCTGGGAACCCATGTAGATGACCTGCTTTGGTGTGCGACGCAAGAAGGAGAAGAGATCATGGACAAGATCATGGCCAGGTTTGACATGGGGAAGATTGAGGATACGGATTTCCGGTATTGCGGCCGGAGGTTTAGACAGGATGCCGATTTCAATGTGACCATCGACACGGAGGACAACACAAGGTCCATTCGGCACATCAGTATCGATCCGAACCGCAAGGGCACAGAAGCAGCAACGGAACAAGATGTGACACGGTTGCGCAGTGTAGTAGGCTCGTTAGCGTGGGTTGCAAGGTACTCGCGTCCGGATTTGTGCTACCGAGTCAACTGCTTGCAGCGTGCTTGCGCGAGGGCAACAGTGGCCGACTTGAGGGATGCCAACCGAGTGGTGGATCTAGCCAAGGCGGATATGGGAATCGCAATGTATTACCCAGCGGGAAAATTCTCATGGCATGATGCGTGTGTGGTCAGCTTCTCGGATGCAAGCCATGCCGGAGAAGAAGGGCTACGGAGCCAACAAGGCCGATTCCACTACATCACATCGGAGAAGATGGTGGATACCAATGAGCACGACGCGCACATCATCGGCTATGGTTCGACAACCATTCGCCGGGTATGTCGAAGCACCCTTCAGGCCGAAACCTATGCGATGCAGACTGCGGTCGAGAGTGGTGACCGGCTACGGGCTATTCTGTGCGAGTTGAGGGGCCAGTTGCCGGTCCTCAAGGATTGGATGGAAACCACTCAGAAGGTCATGAGACATGAATGGGTTTCCGATTGCCGGAGCTTGACAGACCATTTAAATTCATGCCAAGCGAGCAAGGTGACCGATCGACGACTCGCCATCGAGCTAGAATCGATGAGACAACAGCTATGGGAAGGCGATAGCAAAACCTACACGGTCTACGATGGCCATGGTGATCGCCTTCGCTGGACCGATACGGCGACACAGCTCGCCGACGCATTGACAAAGTCGATGAAGCCGTATCAGCTTTTCAAGGTAATGCGTGAAGCCAAGGTTTACCTCAGTGACCCAGAGAAGAAGATCAAGAAGGGCACACAACAAGGTGACCAGTGACAAACCTGAGACTCCTTTAAGGACGAGGTGTGCTGAGTCATGTGAATTGACATGGAAATCGCGAGCTAGTAGTAGCCTGGAATAGCGATCTAGTAGTTGCCGCAGAGTCGCTTGCATGTTTTTGGTGTACAGTTTTAGTCTTGACAGCCGGCATGCGTCAGTAGATAAGACGGGTGAGAATACCTCCTCGTTTTGCGATGTGTAGCCTGAGCGCATGCCTAGGAAGCCTTCATTGTAAAGTGCTAGTGCGGTAGGAAACATCAATTGTATGTGCTGACCGTAACGTTCCTCTCGAAGGCGCCTTGAGCTAGCTGGCAAAAAGTAGCTGTCCGAAGCGCTTTGTTACCAAACCACGTTCTTGCACTTGTGCTTTTGTTGTCTTGCTGGCTAGGACGTAGGCTGCGAGGTTCTGAGGCAGGCTAGTCGGCATGTGAGCATGTGCTTCTGCGAGTGGTGCTGTCGGCTAGGGTTGTGCACTAAAAGAAACCGCCGTGGCTACTGCGGCTAGAGGGTGGATTAACGGCCCACCAAGATCAAGGAGAGCCCACGCTAGGTGGGCGAGCCTGTGTGCCTTAGATCAGTCGGAGCAGGCTAGTGTGCTTGCACAACGGATAGAGATCCTCGGGCTACTGGACGAATGGATAGAGGTCGATCCCGGCAGCCTGGCCGAGCAGCTTTACGAGAGGCTAAGTCTGGATAAGCTCCACGAGCTGCTCCAGCTAGCCCGGAAGGCTAGAGACATGCGGATAGCAGAGCACCAAGAGGGTGCCAACATCCAGCCGGGTGGCCGGCTATCCAACAAGCTACTCCAATACCAAGGGGCTATGCAATGGGATGACATCCCATGGGGGCTAGAGGCCAGCCTCTCGCGGACCGAGGCCCAATTAGAGGGCCGGATAGCGAAGAACAGGCAGCTAGCCGGGCTACGCCCGTACCGGCCAGGCGAGACGCTAGAAGAGGAGTCGGTGCAGAGCGAGGAGGATACGCCCTGGCAGAAGGAGAGTGCCGAGGCTAGCCAGCCGCAGGCGGCGGCGGCTAGCGACCTGGGCCCTGGCCAGGCCAAACTGGGTCTGCTACAGGAGATGATGCTGCAGCTCCGGGCTACGACCCCTGCGGCTAGGCAAGAGGAGACCCCGGCTAGGGGGTCAGAGGAGGCCAGCACACCGGCGAGGGATCCCACGCCAGGCGAGGCCTTTGGCAAGCCAGCCAAGCCGGCTAGGGATCCTCCCACGATACAGCAGACCCAGGCTAGAAACGAGCAGACAGGCCCGGGCCTTGCACAGGCTAGGTAACAAACATTTCGCTTAGGAGTGTGTTGCCCTATAATCCTGTAGATGAGCTGTTTGCCACATGATTTTGTATAGTATGGAACAAATGTTCCACTGTGGTGTTTAGGCTCAAGGGACGCACCCAAGACAGCCGTGCGCCCGAGGAAAAGTGAAGTGCGAATATCTGTGTGAAGTGAAAGGGTCCGGAACGTACCCGTAAAGCGTTTTATGGTAGCGGAGCTGAAGGCCAGGACCTTCGGCTGAAGAAGAGCCCAATACAAGGAGAAACGAGCCTTGGGCCCCAGTGTCACGGAAAGTGAAAAGAAAGGAAAGTTGAATGGCCACGCCAAGTCCAGCTGGAGACGCGGATTTGCCTGTGTCCCCTGGTCACGGTGGTCAAGGAGGAGATACACCAAGTGATACGCCAATGGCGATGCCTGCACCAGATGGAGTTGCAGGAGGATCCCTTCAGGCCCTGATAGGGAACCTGTCGGCAGCAGCGCAAGCTTTGGCAAGTGCTGCAGGTACAGGAAGTACCAGAAGTTACGACTCTGCAGCTAAGCTGGTGAAGAGTCCGGATGTGTTCGCTCCAAAGAATCTGGAGGAGGAAGTTTCACAGTGGCCAGATTGGAGTTTCAGTTTCAAAGTGTTTGTGGGCTTCATTGATCCCACTTATGCAGAAGAGTTGAAGAAAGTGGAGCTGGCACCACCAAATCCAGCAGATTATACAGTTGGTGAAAGAGAGCGAAGTACAAAGCTGTATGCGATTTTGGCCTCGTATCTTAGGAACAGGCCATTGAAGTTATTGAAGTCAGAAGGAAGTCCAGATGGATATTCTGTTTGGAGGAGACTGTTTGAAGAGTTGGAGCCGTCAAGCCGGACAAGAGGGCTGGCAATGGCTCAAGCTCTAGTGAGCTTTCCCCAGATGACGAAGGGGACTTCTATCTTAGACTATCTGCTTACCTACGAAAAACTGGTGGCAGAATACGAAAAACTGTCCGAAGGAAAACCCTACGATGAGAATTTGAAAATCGGAACAGTACTCAAAGGTTTGCCAAATGAGTTGAGGAAGCATATCCTGATAGGATTGACCCCTACGACGAAGTACGCAGACATCAGGAAGAAGTTGCTTGAGCATGAAAGAAGTACCCAATCGTGGAATGCGGAGAACATTTTGCAGTCTTTCAACATGGAAAGCGCAACGAAGAGTACACCCTACAATGGGCCACAACCAATGGATATTGATCGAGTGAAAGGAAAAGGAAAAGACAAAGGAAAAGGAAAAGGTCACGACAACAAAGGAAAAGGAGGAAAAGGGTACAACAACAAAGGAAAAGGAAAAGGAAAAGGATACGACAACAAAGGAAAAGGAAAAGGAAAAGGATACGACAACAAAGGAAAAGGAAAAGGTGGTTATAGAAATGCACGAGCAGTGGACGCTGGTGGCTACGGGAAAGGAAAGTTCATAGGAGAGTGCCACATATGCGGAAAGACAGGACACAAAGCAGCTGATTGTTGGCAGAATCAAGGAAAAGCAAAAGGAGGTAAAGGCAAAGTGAGACAGGTAGAAGAGGAAGGAACCCACCAAGGAGATCACGAAAAGAGTTCCTCTAGCAATGCCCCTCCTGCGAAGAATGAGACTGGTCAAGTAAGGCAGATTACAGCTGAAGCAGCGCGCCAAGCAAGAAGAGTTGAGATGACACAAGAATGGAACGATGAGGATGAAGAGCTCAACTTTGTGAGATTGTGTCAAGAGTTTGAAGGTTTGGTTCAAGGAGAGCTGAGAAGAGTTGAGGAGTTTGATATCTCTTCGAGCGATGAAGTGGAAGAGATCGAGGAAGAACCGACTGATGGTTTGATGGAGTGGTACCAAGGATGGTGGTTCTTGGAAACAGAAGTTGAAAGAAGTGTGAGAATGGTTTCTGAAGGAGATGATGTGAGAAGAGTAGCAAGAGAAGTGGATGCATGTGAGGTAGTGCTCGACAGTGGAGCTGACTGCCATGTGTTGCCTATGGATTGGGCAGAAGAAGTCGGAGAAACTTCGAACTTTGAGTACCATCTGAAAGATGCGCAAGGGAAAGTGATCCCAACGTTGCCTGTGAGGCAGAATGTGACGTTTGTTTTCACGAAGGAGTCTGGAAAGAAGTTGAAGATCACTGACAGTGCTGTTTGCGGCAATGTCACCCAACCTTTGTTTGCGGTAGGAAAGATGTGGAAGCTAGGTTGGGGTACGGTGAATGAAGATGGAAGATTGTGGTTGAAGAAAGGAAGTGTTCGAATACCGATATACTTCAAAAGGAATTCCTCAATGGCGAGGATGTGTATACGGAGACTTGAAGGAGAAGAGATGACGGTACAGCCTGTGAGGCTGGAGCGAGAACTGAAGAATGAGTTGAAGAGCAAAGAAGATGAAGATGGTTGGTTTGTGCTAAATGACGGCACGCCTGCAAGGTTTGATTGGTTTATGGGGAAGACGTTTGACCCAACGGGTCAGTTCCCTAATAGACTCTATGAGGGAGCAGGAGATGAAGGCGATTATTTTCCTTATAGGACAACCTTGCTAGGAAAGATGAAAAGAAGTGGAGAAAGAGTGTTGAATGAAGTGGATTGGAAGAGTATGGATTTCTTTGAGTGTACGGAGATCTGGAAGGATCGCGAAAGAGTGCAACTTGGGGCGAGTCCTCAAGCAAGGTTTGAGGTGATGGTCACCTTGTTGGAAAAAGGATTGAAGGAACCGAGTGACTATGGGTTGCTCACGAACTTGGAAGAGCTTGAAAGAGAACTGGCACAAGAAGGAGTGCCAATGGAGGTCACAGGAACCTCCTCAAGTTCGAGAGACAAAAAGGAAAGTGAGAAAGAGGAACCGAAGAGAGGAGTTCCAGTGATTGGTGAAGATGAGGAAGAAGTGATGGTGATTGGACCAATGAAGTTGACACGCCAGAGTGAGTTGAAGGAGATGAAAGCGGCGTGCAAGTATCTGCATATCTCGAAGAATGGATCGAAAGAGATCTTGTGGAAAAGATTGAAGAAAGAGGTTGCGCTGAGCAAAGTGAAAGCGCAAGCCCAAATCTCTGAGGATATCAGAAAGGAGTTTGAGAGAGAACCAATTCCAGAGGCTCTGCCTGCTTTGCCGAGCCCGGAAGAGATTGAAGCGCATGAGTTGACGCATTTGCCGAGAGCGCCCTGGTGTGAAGCATGCCAGGCAGCAAAGAGCAGAGAAGACAACTTTGAAGAGACGAAAGAGAAAGCGCAACGGCCCGTGTTTAGCTTGGACTTTATGTTCACAGGAACACAAGGAGATGAAAAGGAGAGAGATCCGCTTGCTATTCAGCTTGCGGGTGTTGACAACGACACGAAGTTCCTGATAGCTATTGCGGTACCAACGAAAGGAGGAGATGCGGTGATAAACCACGCGGTAAGTGAAGTGGTAAGAGTGTTAGCCCTTTTGGGTTACGCTGAAGTGGTGATTAGAACGGATACCGAGCCAGTGATGATTGCCATCAGGAGAGGAGTTCAAGTGGCAAGAACAAGACAAGGTTTGAAGACGGAGTTGCAAGATGCCACGCCTGATGAGCATCAAGGGTTGCCTGTGGAAAGGTATATCCAAACTGTGAGGAACCTTGCAAAGACGTTGTTGGCGACGGTTGAGCAACGAAGTGGAACGGCCATCGGATCTGATGTCCCGCTTTATAGCTGGGCGTACAGACATGCAGCATGGCTGCACAACAGGTT